AGGCAAAATAGGTAAATATTATAAATAATGAGACTATGTACCTGTGATGAAAAAATCTCTTTTACATTAATATATTCAGCATGAGTAACTGTAATATTTGGTACCAAACATGAGAGGCTAAGTAATTAAGCCATGCAAAATAATTAAGTGCTCTTATACACATTATCTCATTTAAGCCTTACCATAGCTCCTTTAGGTGAATAGGTTAGAAATTTTAAACTATTTTAGAAAAGAGTCCCATGAGAGGCTCTTAGACATTCCCTCAAGTAGGTTTATTCTCAGATTTTCTGATTCTAGTTTTGACAGTCCACTGTAGGGTCTGCCTACATTAGTGTACTTTTCCAAGGTTTTGTTTGATGCAAATTCCTCAAAATTGAAAATGGCTGAAAACCATTACTTAAAAGTGGTTTGAGAGGTTGGGCGCAGTGGCTCACACCCATAATCCCAGCACTCTGGGAGGCCAAGGCAGGCAAATCACCTGAGCTCACGAGTTCAAGACCAGCCTGAGCTAAAGCCAGACCCGCCTCTAAAAGTAGCTGGGTATTGTGGTGGACACCTGTAATACCACCTACTCAGGAGGCTAAGGCAAGAGAATCACTTCAGCCCAGGAATCTGAGATTGCTGTGAGCTGTGATGCTACAGTACTCTGCCAGGGGCAACAAAGTAAGACCCTGTCTCAAAATAAATAAATACAGCGGGCTGGGTGTGGTGGCTCCTGCCTGTAATCCTAGTACTCTGGGAGGACGGGGGGGTGTTTGGTGAGGGGGTAGGGAGTGATGGTGCCTGAGTTCACAGGTTTGAGACCGAGCAGCCTGAACCAAGTAAGACCTGTCTAAAAATAGCCAGGTGGGCTCGGTGCCCATAGCTCAGTGATTAGGGTGCCAGCCACATATACTGGGGCTGGCGGGATCAAACCCAGCCCAAGCCTGCTAAACAACAACTACAAATAAAAATAAAACTAGCAGGACACTGTGGTAGGCACCTGTAGTCCCAGCTACTTGGGAGACTGAGGCAAGATAATCACTTGAGCCTAAGAGTGAGGTTGCTGTGAGCTGTGATGCCATGACACTCTACCAAAGGTGACACAGTGTGACTCAAAAAAAAAAAAAAAAAAGTGAGCAGCACGAGAAATGGAGGAAAACCAGGGCTTTGTCCTTTTTTAGAGATACAGGCTCGGCTCGGCGCCTGTGGCTCAAGTGGCTAAGGCAGCAGCCACATACACCTAAGGTGG